ATAGCCTTGCTGGGTAGAGTAGTCTTGGATTCAGATTCTTGTTTTTCATGACTTTGATTACTTCATGCCATTCTCTTCTGGCCTGTAGTGTTTCTTGTGAGAAGTCAGCTGAGAGCCTTATGGGGTTCCCTTTGTAGGTGTCTTGGTGTGGGCCTGTTTGGGTTCATCTTACTTGGGACTCTCTGTGCTTCTTGAATTTGAATGCCTTCTTCCTTCACCAAATTAGGGAAGTTTTCTGTCACTATTTTTTTTAATATATTCTCTATCCCTTGCTCATTTTCTTCTTCTTCGGGGACTCCTATGATGCGAATATTATTACGTTTCCAGTTGTCCCATAGTTCTCTTAAGCTGTCTTCCTGTTTTTTAATAGTTTTTTCCTTTTGTTTTTCTGATTGGTTGATTTTTTCTACCCTGTCTTCTAATTCACTGATCCAGTCCTCAGCTTCCTCTACTCTGCTTTTTAAACCTTCCAATGTGCTTTTCATTTCTGATATGTCATTTTTTATCTCTTCTTGTTGGTTTTTAATTTCCAATTGGCTTATTTTCAGTGTCTCTATGTCCTTACTCATGCTGTTCAGCTTCCTCAAGATCATGGCTCTGAATTCTAGCTCTGTTAACATGCCTAACTGCTCCACATTGATCTCATCTTCGGTGGAGGTGTCTTGCTCTTTCATTTGGCTTCTGTTTCTGTGTTTCACCATTTTGGCTATCACTGTGGGCTTTGGAGCCTGTCAAGTTCTCCCTGTGGGTGTTGGTGTTCTGCTGTTTGTGGCTCCCTCTCCTGTGTTTAGATGAGCGAGGGAGGACCCACGTTGAACACCATTGTCAAGTCTTACTTTCCTGGTTAAAGTTGCCAGCCCAGGAAATGTACTGTTATCCTCTAGCTTTTTGCCTGGAGGCTAGCAGTCGAGGTTACTTGATGAGTTTTGGGTTGTCAGTTGATTGAAAAGCTCCCTCTGGTGCTTAGCACAAGGGGATTTCCCGAGGGTGGGGCAGATGCTGGTCGTTAGTGAGCCTCAATTAGCACTTCAATGGCCCACAGGGTGGGGTTGGATCTCCGAGGGAGGGGCTGCTGCCTCTCTCAGAGCCCTGGGAAGGAGCAATGTGGCCACCGTCCTGCGTGGCTGCACTGAGCCAAAGCTCTGAGCGCCCTCCAGATCCCGAGTGTCCCCCACAGCTCCAGTCCAGTCTGCCCTCCCTCTGCCGGAGCCCAAGGTGAGTGGCTGTGGCTGTTTCAGCCTCTGTCCCGGCTGCGCTGTGGAGCCGCCTGGGAGTGTAACCCGCGGGCGCCGCTCCCAGCTGAGGCCGCTGCCGAGCTCTGACCGTGGGCTCCCAGCCCCCGTCTCGCGCCTTCGCAAGCCTACCGGGATGGAGTCAGTGTCCCTCGTTATATGGTCCTCCAAGCTGCTTTTCTGTTGGTCTTTCCCGTCGATTTTTCTGTGTTATAGTTGTAATTCCAGTTTGGTTCTGGGAGACGGTCTGTGGAGCTTCCGTTCACTCCGTCGCCATTTTTCCTCTCCAGAAAGTTTTCAAATATATAAAACTTGATGCTTCCAATCAGCCCCGAAGACCATCATCAGTTTGCTAATTAGTTTCATGCGTCTCCTGTGCCAGGTTTTGGTATTTCCCACTTTGACATAATTCAATACCCAAAACCTAATGCCACGTCCCCGGCTGTGTCAAACCCGCTTTGTTCGGACCCGGGCTCAGCAGGCCTGCGTGCCCATTGGGTGTGCCAGGCGGTGTCTGTGCCGCGTAGGGAGCGAGGTGTACGTCGGAGGGCGCGTGGTCGTCTGCTTGAGCGGATGTCACCCTGAGTCCACCGGGGCATCTAGTAACAGGCGGAGAAGCACCCCTCTGCGTGGGGGGCGGGGCTCCGTTTCCGCGGCAGGTGTCCATTCCTGACCCCGTCAGGCCTGGGCTCGGCCGAGTCGACACTGAAGCTGCCTCCTGGGCCTCGGAGCTGTGGGCCCAGGTGGAGAAGGGACGCTCCCAATAGCCCCAGGGGGGTTCACTTGCGGGCTTGGCTCTGGGCGCCCAGTTTCAATTCCTGAGGTGGCAGTCACAGGACGGGGGGTCGGGTGAACCGGCGGTACGCGCCCCACTGACGCTCTGTGGCCGCGCTGATGACCCCGTCGGCTCAGCCCCGTGGTGCGGGGTCAGTGCGTCCACTGGGTGCGGGCTGGAGGGCAGCTGGGCCAGTGGATATTCTGACACCCCTGCCTGTCGGCCTGGGGCTGTCCCTGCTCTGATCCCTGGAGGCCAGGCTCCCTCTCAAGGTGATGGGGCTTCTCCAGGGAAACGCTTCCGAACACTCAGTGTCGTCCTTTCTGACGGGTCTGGGCGCAGAGGAAAAGCACTACCCAGCCGCGCCCCAGGGTCACGCACACCGGCGAGGGCCTGTGACTGCTTCCTGTGATTCCGGTGTCTGAAGACCTGTTGATAGAGTCCGTCGCTCCTGGAGAGTGTATGTAAATGTGAACACGACAGTGAGGCCCTGGCCGGTAGCTCAGCTGGTGAGAGTGTTGTCCCCAAACGCCAAGGTTGCAGGTTCGATCCCCGGCCAGGGCGCACACAGGAAGCAACCAGTGAATGCGTCAGTAAGTTAACAAATCAATGTTTCTCTCTCTTTCTCCCTTCGTCCCCTTTCCTCTCTCTCTTAAAAAAAAAATCAATAAAATTTTTTTAAAAAAGATAAGGCGGGGAGAGAAGCTGTGGGCACAGAGCACAGGGTGCCAGAGGCCCGTCGCTGGGAGCGCTGAGCCCCCCGAGTCTGCGGTGGTGGTGCCTGGGCCCGCAGTCCAGCACAGTCTGTGGGGGACGTGGAAGCGGAACCATTTCGCTGCACAGGGCGCCTCAACTGTCCCTTGTCTCGGTCGTGGGAAGGCTTGCTAAAGCACTATGCCTGGGCCACCCCCAGAATTTCTGATGGGAGGCCTGGGGGCCCCTGGGCGGTGCTGGGGTTGCTGCCCCAGGGCCTCGGACGGAAGGCTCAGCTCGGAGAGGCAGGAACAGCGCCCAGCCGTCCAGATCACACAAGGCGGCACCGTCAGGTTCTGCTGTAACTGGACGGGGCCGGGTGTAGGGGCTCCAGGCCCTCGGGGCGCCCCCAGCCTGCCGCATCCGAGTCCTTGTTCTCCTGACCACGCGCGGCTGGAGCGTCAGTTAATGCCGGTTACAGCTGTAATCTGCCTGGCAGAGTAAGAAAATGACACGGAAACATTTTGTTCGGCTTCATTGTACCAGAGGCCAAGTCACAGCTCATGAAAATGACACCTTGTGAGGCAGGGTGACGCCCGTTTCGTGAAGTGGGATCGGATGTCACAGGACTTTGGCAAGAAAGCGCCGTCTAATCTGCTGCTGTCAAGGGAACTGCGGGCGCCGAAACCCGTACCGGGAGGCAGGACGCTGCAGTCGGGAGGAGCCGGACAGGGCGCTGAGTCTTTAGATGGTTTGTTGTCGCTTCAAAACCGTCGCATGGTCGGAGAAACGCAGACACGTGTGAACTGTCCAAGGAGAAAGAGCGCAGACCGGAGGTGCGGGGCCTGACGTGTCAGAGCGTGTCAGAGGGGACGAGAGGGACGGCCCTGCGGCGGCCGGAAGGGAGTGACATGGGGGCGTGGGCTCGAGGAAACGGCGACTTCCTGGGGGAGAAGGGAGGACTGGGAAGAGCTGGCTGTCACCCTCTGTCGGTAGACTGGACGGGCTCTCAGGCGGTCTGGTCGGACTTGAGTGACTGAAACTCAACAAACTGATGCTGAGCTGCAGCCGGATAAGTCGCAGGCGGGGCTGGAAGCGTATCCTGGAAAAGGGGGCGGGGAGGCTGTGTGCTGCCAGACAGACGGACACACGCACACCAGCAACAGTGAGGGCAGAGGGTGAGGGGGCCCGTACCTAACGCCGACTTGCACGATTACTGACAGCGTCGGAGGGACCCGGCTGCGTGAGCGTGAGGTCAGCTCGGGCACAGATTTGCTGACCGTCAAGGGCCCGGACGCTGGGCAGTCGGTGGAGAGTAATTCTGTCACACAAGTAAAGAAGAGATGCAATATTTTGTATTTGCAGGGTGTTTGCTAAGTCCGAGGAGTATATATTCACATTCAAGTGAGGTTTGCATTTGCCTGTTTGAATGGATGCATGTTGCTATTTATAGGTTTAAAGGAGAAAGAACATGAGTTTAAAAAAATCAGTGTTGAGTTTAGATAGTGGAATAGAGCGATTTTTGTTCTTCCTAAAATTCTTCTACTGTTTTGTCAGGTTTTAACAATAAAGTTGTTTTTGTTGTTGTTTTTTAAATCCTCACCTTAGGATATTTTCCCATTTATCTTCAGGTAGAGTGGGAGGGAAGGAGGGCGGGAGAGAGAAACATTGATGTGAGAGAGACGCACCGACTGGCTGCCTCCCACACGCCCCCACCAGGGCCGGGGACTGAACTGCAGCTGAGGCACATGCCCTTGACCGGAATCAAACCCGTGACTCTTTGGTCCGCCGGCTGACGCTCTAACCGCTGAGGCACACCGGCCAGGGCAACAGTAAAGTTTTGCCATAGATTATAGATCATGTGAACTTTCATTTGGAACGTGACCGGAGCACCAGCCCAGGTGTTGGCTGATGCTGTTAGGCATGAACTTGAACCAGTAAAGACGCCGCTCACGTACGAGCTGTGGATTCCATCTTATGTGCATGACCTTGACCATCTCGACCCAAGTGCTCCAAGTTCCTTGTGATCAGATGGACATGTTCATAATTTCTCTAATCTGTTCCTCTTATATGGACTGTTTTCCTATCTTTTCACCTACTCTGTTTTGCCTACTTTTCTGAGCTCTTAAAATATTTAAATATTTTTTGTTTTACTCTTTTGCATTTATACCAGTGACAATTTTTAAAAGTAATTTATCTGTGCCTACTCAAAACCCATTTTTAGTAAGAAGGTGAAAACTGTTGCTAATGCTAAGGTGAAGTGATTTCCAACTTACGTGTCTTTTTTTTCTTTGTTTTAGGTAAGTAACTGAATGGGGACATGAAGAGCTGATGTCTCAGATGACAACCATGTTGCAAAAGGTACTTTCTGTGTTTTACTGTCACTGTGACAGGACTCCTGTGACAAGGCACAGGTTGGAAAGTAACTAAGCATTGTTTTGGTAAAAACAGGTTTATTTTCTTGGTGTGTAGACAGGTGTGAAGATGTGAAGATGTCACAGCTGTAAGAATAGTTATGAGCACTGTGGTGGTTTTCTTCCCGTGTCTAGGACATTATGTCAGCATTTGTGGGCGTGGGCAGACACAGGTGGGCAGGCACAGGTGGGCAGGCACAGGGTACCCTTGTCTGTTCTCTCTAAGGGCTTGTGATTTGTTCTCTGTGACCAAAACCCCACCTCAGAGTTACTCACGACGTTGGTTACTGTAAGCTCGTCAGTGTTGCACGTTGACTCTAGATAATGAAACAGATGGTGCGGTGTGGAGAACTCTCCTGATTCTATGTGTGTAACACAACTTCTCCGTCAGGGGAGGGAGGGAGGGAGCATCACTCTCAGGAGTAAGAGCACCGACACCCTTAGACCCGGAGAGCAGCCACACATGTGGTTTGTGGGAATCCGGTTTTTTAAAACGTCATGAATCTTGTCTGGAAGGATCTTTCTTGTCTGGAAGAAATCTTTTAACTACTGTGGAAACCACCGCGTCTGATGACAGGGAGACACTTTCCTTGTGCGGCGTTAGATGAGCCGTGTGCCGCCATCCACGTGTTGACCACGCAGGCACCCGTGGCGCTGGGGGTGCGGGAACCGTGAGGCGCTCGGACCCGAGGGCCCGTCCACCCCAGTGAACAGAAGACACACGAGGACATTGGAAGAGGAGAAATCAGCTCAACCTGGGCTCAAAATTCCTACACATTTCTAATTCTGCTTAGAAATTTCCTCAAGGACCTTCTGGACCCCAGGGCAGGTGCCGGGTGAATTTGAGGAGAGGTTCGAGAAGTAGTTGGTATGATCCTTTGACACCAAAGAGTTTATACCCTTCTAATGATGGTCCTTTAATTAGCATAACATTTCTCCACGTTGTGGCCATTCTTCTGGTATTAAGTGAGAATTAGTTAATTTTATTCATACTGGCGCCAGGACACTAGTTGACTAGGGCTGTTTTCGGGTCGGGCAGATGTCATCGTGTCCTGTTACATTAACGTGTTACAACGCGATGCCCTGCAGCGCAGGGCCTGGCGAGGTGCCCAGGGCCAGCGCCAAATCCGCAGCGGGCCACAAGCCTTAGCAGCTCAGGGGAAAGATTAGTGGCGGATCTGGGGACGCGCGTCTCTCGGGAACTGAGACAGCAGAGCCAAGGAGATGCCTCCGTCAGGTTGGCCGTGTGACGAGGGGCAGGACCGCGCCCGGTGTTCAGAGGGGCGGGAAGGCGCTGGTGGGAGGAAGAACCAGGAGGTGAGGGTGCGGTCGGCACAAAGTGTCCTTGGAAAGTTCGGTCTGAGGGTGAGAGTGGACAGAAGTGGGGAGCTGCATGGCCGTTGGGAGAGAGTCCTGAACATGTTCAGAGGCGGATGGAGCAGCAGAGGGAGGAGACGGAGGGTCTGGGCTGAGAGGGAGGGGCCGTCAGCAGGAGGACCTGGCAGGGGACACCCCTCAGGGTCCCTGAGGCACCGACAGGAGTCCGCAGACACAAAGTGGCCTAGAGGCCTGGCGGGGACGCAGGGGTGTCAGCACCGACTTCTGTGTCCTCTGTGCACAGTGTGTGGCCAGGTGGTGAGGGTGTGAGACAGGGGACAGGTGTGAGGCAGGGGACAGGTGTGAGATAGGGGACAGGTGTGAGGCAGGGGACAGGTGTGAGGCAGGGGACAGGTGTGAGGCGGGGGACAGGTGTGAGACGGGGGACAGGTGTGAGGCAGGAGACAGGTGTGAGGCAGGGGACAGGTGTGAGGCAGGGGACAGGTGTGAGATAGGGGACAGGTGTGAGACAGGGGACAGGTGTGAGGCCAGGGGACAGGTGTGAGACGGGGGACAGGTGTGAGGCAGGGGTACGGTGTGAGGCGGGGGACGGTGGTGAGGCTGGGGACAGGTGTGAGGCCGGGGACAGGTGTGAGGCCGGGGACAGGTGTGAGGCAGGGGACAGGTGTGAGGCCGGGGACAGGTGGGAGGCGGGGGACAGGTGTGAGCCGGGGACAGGTGTGAGCAGGAGCCAGTGTGCGGCGGGGGACAGGGTGAGGGCGGGGGACGGTGGGCCCGGGCGACAGGTGTGAGGCCGGGGACAGAGTGTGAGGACAGGGAAGGTGTCTAGGCCAGGGGACAGGTGTGAGGCCGGGGACAGGTGTGAGACAGGGGCCATGGGAGGCCAGGGGACCGGTGTGAGGCAGGGGACAGGTGTGAGGCCAGGGGACAGGTGTGAGGCAGGGGACAGGTGTGAGACGGGGACAGGTGTGAGGCGGCGACCGGTGGAGGCAGGGGACAGGGTGAGGCCGGGGAAGATGTAGACAGGGGACAGGGTGAGGCGGGGGACAGGTGTGAGGCGGGGGACAGGTGTGAGACAGGGGACAGGTGTGAGGCAGGGAACAGGTGGGAGACAGGGGAAGTGTGAGGAGGCGACAGTGTGAGACAGGGGAAAGATGTGAGACAGGGGACAGTGTGAGGCACGGGGACAGGGTGAGAAGGGGAAAGGTGTGAACAAGGAGACAGTGTGAGACAGGGGAAGATGTGAGACAGGGACAGGGGTGAGGCCAGGAGACAGGGTGAGCAGGGCACAGGTGTGAGGCGGGGGACAGGTGTGAGATAGGGGACAGGTGTGAGATAGGGGACAGGTGTGAGGCCAGGGGACAGGTGTGAGGCCAGGGGACAGGTGTGAGACAGGGGACAGGTGTGAGGCAGGGGACAGGTGTGAGGCAGGGAGCGGGTGGGGGCGGAGGTTCCCAAGGGCGGTGTCCGTAGCCCGAGCTGGCCGGGTGAGTGGGAAAGGCATGTGCTCACACCCCTGGGTCTGGCGAGGGGCCTCAGCCCGCAGTCTGCTGACAACCCCGTCAGCTGTCAATCACGACCCTTAGCTGGTGGACAGATGTGCTCAAACGCACTGGATACCTGCCCCTCCCTGGAACGGAACTAGAACCTGTTCGAGGATGTTCACGTCGCTGTGGTCCTTCCTCGCTGGGTGTGAGCGTGCACTTTGCGTGTGTGGATGTTCCTTTCTGGGGTCAGAAACCGGAGACTCTGCTTTGATGGAAATGACAAGAGAGACGCCCACTTTCTCAGGTGCTGGTTTTGAGTGTGTCTGTGGCGACAGCATTTTAATGGCAAAGGGTGAGGACACCTTGCAGAGGAGGTGCTGTCACCTCCCGGACGTCCGTCCTGTTTGCCGCCCGAGAGCCAGCTGCCGGCACCGAGGCCGGAGCTCACACAGCCTCGGGCCGCCGGCTCCCCCGCAGGTCCGGCCGGCGCCATGAGCAGACCGGGCGACGAGCACGCTTGCTGACTCTGAGTGACAAGTACGTTAACATGCCCCTGACCCGGAGACTCAATTCTAGTCCCGTTTCGGTTTTGAAGAGTATGGACTTGAGGGCAGAGAGCTCTTCCTCAGACTGAAGGGAGCCGTTTGGGAACTTTCCAATGTCTTAGCCGCACAACCATTTGAAAAGTAAGGCGAGGTGTGAACAAAGATGAAGAGACCTGTCTGGCTCCAGGGGCACGGGGTGGGCCCCCCGAGACGTCGCCACTGAACCTCGTGGACACTGATAATGTCATCGCAGCGACACCGAGTTTCATCAAAGTCTAGAGTTGTTAAGAAAATCCTCTGGTTTTGAAGCGAATCTTCTCTCTGTGATGAAGAAGGCCGCTTAGTGCCGACTTTGCCCCGAAGTGTTGCTGGTTTGCTGCCGGACTGGTGCCCGTCCAGGCTGATTTGGCAGAAGCGGCTCCGCAGGAGCCCGGCCGGCGCACGTCTGGTGTGGGGGGCGGGGCACCGTGCCATGGACACTGCGGGTCAGGAGGCCACGATGCAAGTGGGCTCGTCCGTGTCCTCAGAGGTGGGCCTGGGCCCACAGCCAGGGTGTGACTGCCCGACTGCGGGGAGCCGGACGGACCCTTCCTTCGGCTGCTGACTGCTCAGGGCGGCGGAATCTGCAGACACGAAATCGAACGTTTCCAAGAAAACAGCAGCCTTGCTGGACACGAGAGCACGGCCGTGGACGGGGCGTTCGCCAGAGGCCGAAGGGGGGGCGCAGACCTTGCTGAGAGGCTTGTGAAGTCCAGCCGGCTGGACAGTGTGAATGCGGGTGCCCACACCAATCGGTGTGCTTGCGTCATTTCATGGTCAAGCGCCCGGTGAGGTGGCTGTAGGAGCTCATGTCCTCTCTGAGAGACGGAGGCTCACAGCACATGTGATGGAGCCGGCGCTGAGGTCCAGATCCCTCCACTTACGACCAGGTGGCCCTGGGGTGGCCAGCCCAACAGCGAGCTGGCATTACGCGTGGCGGAGGATCCCCTGCGGGCCTGGGCTTCTCACGTCCTGCACACACGCCCCTCTGAGTGCCTGCTGACCGGACGCGTCTCCGCCGGGCTCGGGCCTCGGGGCTTCTGCCGCCTAAGCTTTTCGAGGGAGGGTGGGGGGGCTCTGGCGGCTGAGGACTCCCTGGGGGGCCCACTGATGGGGACACCGTGTCCTTTCATCTGAGGATTCGCTTCCCGAGGACGAAGAAGGAGCCGAGTTCTGGGTTCTGTTCTGACATCGTCCGCTCAGGTGAACATCCCTGAATGTAATTGAGACCTCTGGCTGCTCTACTGGTCCGTGGGGTATTGTTCTGACGTCCTGTGAGCCAGACAGGCAGTTCAGTCCTGAGTTTTTAAAACTTTGTTTCAAGGCTTGTCTAACTGAGTGGGGCGACCAGGAGAAAAGAGCGAAGATTAAACTTTTCAGATGTTAGGAAATAGAATTGGTTATTGAAAGTATCTTATATATTTATTTTAAAACATGTTTTTATTGGTTTTTTTTTTTTTTTTTTTTTTTTTTTTTTTTATCCTCACCCGAGGACATTTTTCCATTTTTGTTCAGATAGAGCGGGAGGGAGAGAGAGG